CACCCCGACGAGCGGAGTAGCACCAAAATCGATTTTGTAAATTCGAATTAGGGGTAGTGTGGCCGCACACCACCGAATTAATGTGGTTAAAAACCGAATTAATGTGCTTAGTGTGGCCGCGCACAATCGAATTTATACAATCTGTTTCCCAAATTCGAATTATCTAAATTCGAATTAATCTCGTAGTGTAGACGTACCCTCAGTGTTTGAAGAAACGCTCTGTGGTGTCACATGATCCATCTCCCACCCCAGCAGTCTGTTCTGAGATTCTTTGCACTCGCTGGAAAAAGTGTGCATAGCCCGTGATCACAGAGTGAGCTTAGAGGAAAAAGCAACTTCCCTCCATCACCCCCACCTCCTCCCCCACTACGCACACACCCAAACCCACAGCTGGTGGTTTTAAAAACAAACAGGTGTAATGTACAGGAAACAAGAATACTGGGGGGAACACGGTTACCCTCGCCTCTGCCTGTGTCCAGCCCAGCCCAGTGGCAACAGCTGCAGCACCGCGGCGTAGGCAGCAGCTGAGAATCAGAGTTTATATCCCACAGAGCTGACACCACCAGAGTTTATGCGGACAATGAGATCTTTACCTGGGAAATGGGCTCCCGTAGGAAGAGGGGGGAGGAGCTCCCTTGCTTAGGACCTAGGAACTGCCGGACTGAATCAGACCCATCATGGTCCATCTATCCCAGTATCCCATCTCGGACAGTGGTCCAGCACCAGCTGCTTCAGAGGAAGGTGGAAGAAATGTCACCCTAGGCAGAGGTGAGGTACTCTGCCCCCCATGATAGGTTCCCTCCTGACTGCTAAATAGTTAGACTAGCTTAAGCCCTGAAGCATGAGGTTTAATAGCCCTGCCAGAAGTTTCTTCTATTGGCATTATCACCCCTGTTTTACAGATGGGGAAACTGAGGCACAGAGAGGGGAACTGACTGGCCCAAGGTTATCCAGCATCAAAGCTGGGAAGAGAGTTCCAATCTAGTGCTCTAACCATTAGGTCACGCTGCCTGTCTGGACCATGCCACCCTTCCCATATTGGCACTGGTATGGTACAGATTGAGAACCACCAGCGTAGAGAAATCTCTATTTCTCAATTTAGTAACAAAGTCACAGGCAAAAGAAGGAAAAGGAAAATGTCAAATGTGTTTATTTTATATAAAAAAAAAATTTGTACAGTTTTAGTTCCTATATTTATGAAAAAAAAACCAAAGTTCCTAACATGGCCATACTGCTTAGATTCACTGCAAACTGTAAAAACAAACTTTTTATATATTAAAAAACAATTTTACATTTTACAATTTTCTACACGCATGCACAAGGTATCAGCTCTGTAAAAACAAAACAAAACAAAAAACCCCAAAAACCTTTTTTTCCCCCTAAACTCAGAGTGGAAAAACAACCCCCCTAAAACCTCTACATTTACAATCTCACTCCACTGAAGAGTCTGTATTTTTTAATTTTTGGGAAAAAAAAAAAAAAAAAAAAAAAAAAAAAAATCTATCCCTGTAAATGTGCACACGGAAACATGACAAGATGATCACAGCGACGGTGACTGATCCATAAAGCAGTGTCGGCGAAAGATCCCCCTGGAGGATCAGGAAAGGAGACACACAGATGGATAGATTAACAGATCATCTGGAAGAGAAGAAATGGTGAAAGTAAAGTAATCACCCTGATGGTGGAAGGCAGCAGTAATGGAAGCAGATGTTTGCATGAAGCATCTTCAATGATCCAGATGTTTTAGCTGGATCCCCTTGTCCTTGGAATACTGAAGCGGAGGGTTTACAGCGAAGGGCTTTGTTTTCTAGGGGAAGGTGGAGGATGTTAAGGGATCTGAGAGATTGGAGCGATGGGCTCTGATTCTCGGTGGGCCTGCGCTTGGTCTCGTCGCGGACACCTGCTATGCATTGGTGTCAAGCTAGATGCAGGGCAATGAGGAATCGGGCCCTAGATTCTGATCGTGGTTAAACAAGTGTACATCCAGAGTCACTTCACTGACCTCTGTGCTGTGACATGGATATCGGAATCTGGATGTGAAGTTGGAGGCCGGTTTCTGATTTCAGTGAAACTGGTGTCAAGCCAGAATCTCTCCAGGGACCCTCCTCACGGGACTCCACATGAGTGTTACTGGGATCGGAATCTGGCCCGAAAGATGGAAGAAAATGAAGTCGAGAGGACATGAGGCAAGACACTAATGGAGCCAGACAAAGGGAGGGGGATCTCATCTTGGGGGATGATCCAGCAGGGAGGGATGGGGAAGCTGGCAGCTTGGTGTTGTGATGGAAAGGCCAAGGTACAGAGATCCAAAGCAAGGTGGAATGGGAGATAGAAACAAAGGGTTAAAAGCCCTGGAAGACTAAAGACAGTCAGACTGGTCTCAGCTGCACTTGTGCAAATCCAGAGTGACTCCACTGGTGTCGCTCCAGATTTACACCAGTGTAACCAAGATCAAAATCGGACCCGGGCGGTAAGCAAAGAGGATGCTGGGAATAGGGAAGAGAGGGGATGGAATTCCCCTGCTGTGCAGAAGGGCGTGCACAGAGCACTTGCACCAGCGATGTCCCACCAACGCTGTTTTAAAGGGTTTACTGGTGCACGGACCTCAGCATAGGGTGAACTTCGACCGCATGGTGAACCTGGTGCTAATTAAGTCAAAGAACAGTGAGAGAACAGGAGAGTGAGGAGAGCAGAGTATCTTTGTACAGACTTGGAGACCCAGATCCCCAGCTGGGGTCAACCTACCCCCAAGCCAAATTTTGACCCCCAAAAGGGCCATGAAATCCACTAGGGATTTTGCTATTGATCTTATGTGGAAGGCGCCCAGACACTACGGTGATGGGTGGCAAAACAACACCCTATGACTGATAGGCGGACAGCTGGACAGATGTTACGGCAACTGGCACCGGCTGGGGGGGCTAGCCTGGAGGAGTTGAGCTCAGAAAGGCAGTTGACATCCCAGAGGCTGTTAGAGAGATAGGGAGTTACCACGATTGTAAACCTCTGAGCAACAGCATGGAAGAGGGGGGGAACCCCTACTTTTAAAAATAAAAGGAAAAACATTAACCACAGATCTGACTTCAAGAGCAAAATACTGTCAATTTCCCCTCACGCCCCCACAAGTCACAGTCCTTTAATAATTTTAGTGCTTAAAAAAAAAAAAAAAAAAAACACAGTGATGAAATCAGGCCAGCCCTGCCCCCCCCCCCTCCCCCCCCCCGACCGCGACCCGCCGTTTCTGAGTACCCTCACACAGCCCCGGTGTTCTCCTCACACCGAACACACACAACCACAGCGGCACAGACGGTAGAAAGGACCCAGTAGAAAACCCGTGAGGTATTTGTAACCAAAAAGACTTCGTGTCGGTTTGACTTAAAAAACAAACAAACAAACAAACGTCAGACGAAAACCCGCCAAGCGAGGGGCCCATCGTAATGTTGCCACTTGCAGTTGGGGGCGGCAGGTCTAGCCCAGGCCTCTCCCCAGCACTGAAGTTGGCATAGGCAGAATTCATACAGGCCCATGGCAAAGACGGACGGACAGTTCTAGTATCCACTGGGTGGGGAGTTCTAGACGCACGCACCAGCTGAGTGGGGGGACTCGGTACAAAGTGGGAGGCCGGGGCACGGTAACAAATTGCAGGTTTCTGATTCCAGGCTCCATAGGACACGGGAGGGAAGAAGGAATGAATCTTTGGGGCCTTGGGAGAGACACCCCCGCGCTCCCGCTGGACCTGATCCTCCGCAGCCTTGCGCCCTGCCTTGCTCGGATCCTGACACTTGTGCATGTGAGCAGTCCCCTTGTGCCCACTTCTCCGTCACCCTGTGTCTGGTGCATTCCGGGCCTGCTCCTGCTCCACTGAAGTCATTGGGAGCGTTGCCATGGATGCCGACAGGCACAGGGTCAGCCCTTCGCTGCACCAGTGCGACGCGGGTGTGAACGCACGACCATTCTGGTTTGCACTCGCTTTGCACTAGCGACCCGCGTTCACGACCGCACTGGGCGCCGCAGAAGAGCAGGCCCAACGGGACACAAAGCTCAGCGTGTGCGTAGGAGCCGGCAGGGTCTGGGCCCTGGTCACTGAGGCATGTGCAAAGTCGGGTGCAAGATGCCAGCGGATCAGAACGGCTGCATCTCACGTGCTCGCTTTGGACTGGCGTAAAGGGGCAGGAAGGTCAGGAATTGGGCCCCGGAGACTCCCGCAGGAGCCGGATCGGGCCCTTGATGCCCAGCAACGCTGCTCCAGAAACAAAATGAAAGGGGGAGACCAGGACAAAGTTTGCCAGGAGGAAGGAAAAATTATTTTTAAGTCAAGTGACTTGGCTTTAGCCCTGTTCCGTGGACAAGAGCCCTGTTTGTGCAGGGGGCCAGCTGGCGTGTTGAAACTAATTCAATCTACAAAGGGTGAGTAAGAGAAATGGACCTGGAGGCCTTCGTCTCTAGATCCGACCGGCTCAGTTTGTAACCAAGCCAAGAGCTGGATTTCATTAGCTGCGGCCAGCCCCGGGAACCAGCTGCAATCTCTGCATTTTTGTCCCCTTCTCGCACCAGCCGTGGAGCCAAAAGAACCCGCTTCTCCAGCGCCCTGGGTCACCGGTACAAAGGGAGGGCAAAAGCCTGCCAGATCAAGAGGGGGAGCCTTTTCCACTGGGCTGTGCACTGGTGCGAGGGACCATGCGAGGCTCAGGGCACCGAGACCCAAGGCCAGAGATGCTGTCGTCAGGCTCTGTGGACGGTGCAGGAGGAAGAACAGAACCCAGCTCGGTCCGACGCGCGCCACTGCAGGGTTCATGGGAGCAATCACTCGTTTGCATCCGTAAAGCCGGCAGATCCGGGAGCACAGCTGGAGGGGCTGTTTTCGCACCAAACGTGCGTGTGATGATAGGCCCTGAACCAGCAAGGCCGTTAAAGCACACGCCTGACTTCCAGCCCAAGAACGGTTCCATTTACATCAGCGGGCCAGAATCTCAGCGGGTGTAAATCAGCAGAGCTCCATGCTAGGTTACACCCGCTGGGGGGTCAGAGGAAGGATGGGCTAGTGGTTAGGCCACTGGGCTTGTGAGATCTGGGTTTGAGCCCCTTCTCCGCCACAGATTCCTTGGGCAAGTCACTGAGCTTAGCCGGCCTGTGCCACAGAACGGGGACAACAGCACTGCCCGGCCGCACGGGGTGCTGTGAGCCCCCCAAATGCCGTGGTGATGGGGGCCATGTAAGTACCTTAGAGAGATAACATTCGGCATGTACCTTGCGGAGTCATGACCTTTAACAAAAGCAAGTCACAGTTGCTTTACTTGCCTGAGGCTGGGGATGCGTACTAGGGCATGGGAGAGATTTGGGGCGGTTTTTCCTATAAATCCCAACAGCTAAACCAAAGCTCAGCCTCCAGACAGAGAAAAGCACAAGGAGGATGAGTCATTCTGCTCAACTCCTGCAATTCAGCACATTCACCAACCTTATCATCGGGGAGCCTGACTCTCCTGGACACAAAGACCCCTTTACGCCACTCCAGCAGCGTAACCCTACTTGACATCCGCTTTAAGGCCCCCTTACACTGCCGGAGGGGGGTAAAGATGCCCTTGGTGTAAAGGAGGAATGGATCCAATTAGTCAAGGAAGTGGAACTGGGCCAGTTTGAGTTGCTATTTACAAAAAACACAGGATTCCATTACAAAGCACAGAGATCAGCACACACGAAAAAAAATCGCTATTTAAAAAAACTGTTTAAAACTAGTCTTCTCGTCGTTGTTAAAAAACTGATCTGGAAAACCCCAGAGAAGAGCCAAAGAGGAGGTTCCTATGCCAGAGTCGGCATTGTTGGTTGTCTTTTCCTGCCGGCAGGTGGAGCAGGGAGATTTCGATAGCAGCCACAATACTGGAGGGACGCTTGCAGATGCTCCAAAACCCTCGCGTGTGGGGATTTAAAAAACACACTCCAAACATCCGGGGCAGTTGTAAAAAAGGCCAGAATCGGGATAGTAATACAAAAAAGGAAACTGAGACGGTTCCTCAGACCCAGCCGCATTTGGAGACGCTGGTGAAGGAGGGAACAAAAAGTAGCCCTTGAGTTTTGGCACCAAATGAGGGATCTTCTTCCTGCTAAAACGCCAGCCTTCGCGCGACGCGCCTTCCGACCTCCTGGGAGATTGCTACAAGAATCTGGGTTTTGGAGACAGCAGAGACAGGAAGGGGAAAGGGCTCTGCCCCCGACCCCCAAATGGAGGGCAAGCAGAGATGGAAGAGGGCAGAGAGAGGAGACGGAGCCCTAGGGCATGCACGCTGGTTCTGGGAGGTTCCTACAAGGCTCTCCCTGCATGATGGTCTCTCTAAGCTCCGGTCAAAAAAGGGAGAGTCCTGGATGCAACTTGCTCCTCCTCAGGCACGAGTCCATAACCTAACCCGCCCCCTTTGCAGTTCACACCGAGGTCTCCGACTGCAGCCTCATGACGAACTTATGTGACTTGGGGTCCACAAACTCCTCTGAGAGCTTGAAGAAGGGGATCTTCTTCGTGCTCACCACCAGGCTGAAGTCTTGGCGCTTGAGGACGAAGACTACCCCGTCCTTCAGGCCATTGGTCACCGGCTCCTCGCTGACCAGCGTCCACTGCTTGGCCAGCCAGCGGTCCTTGTGGTACTGGATGGTGGGCCCAGCGCTCAGGTACCTCTCGAGGAAGGCCTGGGGGACAGGAGAAGAGACAGGAGGGGCGTTTCTCAATGGATAGTGGTCTTTGTTGAGGCACCATTGGCTACCTGGTGGGTCAGGCCGGAAGGAGGCCTTGCAACATCGCCATGGAAACCCATCAGCTCCAGCACAACTGTATCCAGGGCTCTGACTGTAGGTAAGGCCCCTTCCAACCGCATTCCCAGCTCTCCTGCCTCTGCAAGGGAGGTTATCCCAAGGTGCACAGCACCATGCAAAAAACACTCATGATTCTCTCTGCCCCCAGGGGCCAGAGGCTAAGGTACTATGGGATAGCTGGCCAGATCTTCCCAGCATGCACTGGTACAAACCCGGTAAGGATGGACTGGCCTACATGGCCGATGCACGGCTATGCTGGGGAACAAAGCTGCTGCGCGGTTGTGTTGAACCGCAACACAGCCTTGGGACTTCATATGGTGTCTATCAGCGCTGAAGACGCTGGAGCAACAGGCTCTGAAATACAGCCCTACGGTGCAGACGGGACCAGGGCTTTCGGCTGCTGGACTTCTCACCCAAAGCTCAGCTACCTCAGTGACGGACGGACCCTCAACCCCAGAGCCAGCCAAGATGGGGAGGAGGAGAAAAGGGGTGCTGGGCAATGGCTCAGAATCCATGTTTAACGTGGATTCTGGTTTCATGGTCTGACCATGAACCTGCAGAAGTAATTCTCACTGGAGAAAAAAGTCTCCGGGGGTGGACTGCAGGTCTAGGGAGCAGGAGTGAGTTCGGGCTGGCCCACGGGAACTGGGGCTTCCCCCATCGACCCCCGAGCTCCCCAGCCTACCCCTTCCCCACCCCCACAGTCCCCCCGCCCCGCCTACCTACCTTGGGAGTCATGTCGTGGGTGATGCAGAACTGCAAGTGCTGTAGGATGCTCTCCATGGTGTGGTAGGGCTGCTGCTTGGTGGTGCGCAGGTACTTCTGCATGGCCCGGGCCATGGAGGCGAAGATGGCCTGGGCAGCTTCTCGCGGGTCCATGATCTCCCGCGGGTTCTTCTGGTCCTCCTCCTGCAGCCGCTTGATGTGGGTGAAGGCTTCCTCCACGGCCACCACCAGCCTGGCGGGAGGAAGGCAGCGGTGGCGACCCAGCTGGCTCCGCTTGGAAGCCCTGCAGAGGCTCCGGAGCTGCCCCAAGCTGGCCCAACCCGTCCTGTACCTCAGCGAGCAGTAACCTTGCTTATAGACCCCAAGTCCTGGGTTCAATCCCCAATCACGGCCCAACCTGTGAGGACTCTAGGGGGATTTGACCCGCTGTGGGCCAAAGAAGCTTAGGGGGAGCTTCCCCAGCCAGGCAGGATGTGCAGCCCATGCTAATACAGTCGGTCTCTCGGTCTCCCAAGCCGAGAGCCGCACTGCCGGAGGAACTGCAGGGTTTGTCTGGGTCCAGCAGCCTCAGGTCAGAAGCCCCTTCACAGTCACCCCAGCCCAGCCCTGCCTCCTCTCCACCACTAGGAGGCACTGCGCCCCCCGTCGACTCCCGTACCTGGCGCGGCGCTTCCGCACCCTGCGCTCGTGCTCGGCCTCCTCGTAGTAGTACTCGTTGTGGCTGTTGTCGCGCCTCCGGGCGGCCGCGGCGATAACGGCCCGAGACTGGCCTGTCGAGTTGTTCGTCGTGTTTTCTGGAAGGGGAAGGAGTGGGGGGGTTAGACACAGGGGGAGAAGTTACAGGAGCAGGCAGTTGGCGCCTCTGCCGCTGGAACTAGCCACTAACGCAGGCAGGGGAGAGGGCATGTCATGCAGCATCATGCTGAGATTTCTAGAGCCGTTGGCAAGCAGCACCTGCTCACGCCCATCACCCGGGCTGTCTCCGAAAGCCGGGAGTGCCCCAACTTTATAGCACCCCGGCAACTTGTGCTCAGCCCCTCCTGGCTTGCACCTGTGCAACGAGCTCACCAGGCCACAGCGAGCCGCTGTGCACTCACGCTGCAGCTGGAGGAGGGGAAGACACCTGCTGGGCTTTAAGTCTCTGCAGCTTTTGTTCGTCAACGCTGCAGCCTGGCCTGGCACCAGACCCCTGGATCCAACCCCCTGTTCAGATCTAGATCTGAATGGCATGGCGGGCGGGGGGGGAAGAGACACGTGCCCATTGCCCAGGTTTCTAGGTGGAACTACCTTCAAACACATCAAATATTAACAGGCTACTGAAAATCCCACCCTCAGGCCTCCTGCCTCCTGTCTACAGTCAGAAAACTGTACCCGTTTAATGACACGGCTCTAGTTAATCAGGTGTGAGCCTCCTATTGTAGACGCACTTAAACCGGTTCAAGTGAGGTCGATAAGTTACCAAAACCTCTGCCCTGGAGGGGCGAAAGGTAGGGTATAAAACTTCTGTGTTGGTGTGAATCAATGCATTCAAATCCGAAGCCATTCCCAGCGAGACAGAGAATAATCCCGCGCTCAGGCAGAGGAGAAAGGAGGGGAGGAAAGCTGGTAATAAAAGGGAGCTTTATCAAATAAAATCACCTCCTGCTAACCAGAGCCGAGGCTGGGAGCAAGGGGAGAAGTAAGCCGGTCGATTTCGCTCCCCCTTATAACATCACTAACATCAATGGAGCTACCGCAAGGTGCGGCTCCGGGGCCGGACACAGAGTGCGGGGAAACAGAGTAAGAAGAGACAGTGAGGAGGGTGGACGGGAGAGAGACCCAAGCTCACCCTCGCCGAGCGAGTACACCTTGAACCCGGACATTTTCTTGGACAGGACGGATTTTGGCAGGTTGAGGAGGGCGGGGTTGTAGACGGGGAAATCGTGGTAATAATTCTCCAGGATCCACACTGCCACGCGCTGGATACTGCGGGGAGAGACACAGCCAGGGCACGGGGAGGGACACAAAATAACACGTTAGACTCGCGCTGCTGGGGGGTGTGGGGTAGGGAGGGGACGCACGTACACAGAAGGGGAAGAACAAAAGGGAGACTGATGGGTTGGATCTGTGAGCCGCATGCCGCAGGCAGAGAGCGCAGCATCAAACACGCCACGCCATTGGGATGGAGCGCTCTGTCCAGTGGCAGCAGCAAATCCCAACCACCACAGTACAGACTGACCGCCGGCCGGCCTCTGTACGGTGATTACAACTAGACCTCAACTTGGATTGTTTTAGCGTTTCGAGGGATAATATCCATGGTTGGTTTTAAGCATTTGTAAAGATTTTTATTGAGTTCTATTTTCCCAATCGCAGGAAGCAGTGGGGGCGGACAGGTCAGAAAATAATTATTTAATGGCAGACATTGGACGTTCAAAAAGCCAAAGCTTTGTAATCGTTAAAACACAAGCTGTCAACATCACATGTCAAAAGAGACAAAGTAAATCTCCTTAAATCCAACTCTACTAAGTTCACAAGCAGCATTTTTCTTATTTTGCCTGGCTGTCAATTTCAGTGACCCTGGATGAAATGTTTTCAGGTGTGTTTGCATGTGGACAGTGAAATTGACGCTTACTGGTATCTACCAATACAAATCTAATCCTATCAAGCCTCACTACAAGCCACGGGCAGGGGATTCGGCGCAGGCCCCAGAAAGGTCCCTGCAGCTGGAGCTAAAGGAGACATGGCATTGATGAGGCTGTTACCGTAGAGACAAGGTAAGTGAGTAATATCTTTTACTGCACCAAATTCCACTGTTGCCGGCAGGTGAAGATCCATGCAGCAGGGGACAGTAGCGCATGAATGTTCATGGGCGCGCACACGCACTTCCCCCAAGC